TATATTAACCCAAGCTCTGGTGTTAAGATGAAGTATATCGGTCCACATCTTATGGTACCTCCCCCACAAATGGTCGAAAATTTGAGATATATATTTTCTGCACAGAAAGGAAGCAATAATCTAATTTTGAAAAATATAACGCTCAAAGAAAGCGAAATAAGGATTCAACTCTTTTCAAATTTCACACATACAAATTATTTTTGCTAACACCAGATCTGTTTTGAAGATGATCCTATATATCTGCGAACACCTTCTGGTACCTCACCCACAAAGAGACACATTTTTCAATATTTTTATCTGTCATAAATTGCGAAACAACTCAGTGATTCTTTACAATTGCTATATCCATCTGCTATAATAATATTTATATCATATTTATGTAGGTCCGATACGAAATTGACAATATTGACCCATTCTTTAAAAACCCACTCCATAGAGGGTGAAGAGGGCTGAGGGTATACATCTGTCGGCAAAGCCGACCGATACTTTTTTACTTGTTTTTATTTTCTTTTCTCTTTTAAAAGTCACTAAACAAACAATGTTGGCGGCGATAAGAAATCGACTAACAGCCAAATATCTCAACAATCAAACAATTGTTTGTCCTTTAGATTAATAAAGAATAATAAAAATCAACAATGATATTGATATTTAAAACAACAAGCTTATGTACTGAAATATGCATGTACGATTTGTTGGGGGGAAGTGTAGTCGGTAAATATTTTGATAAGTTGATATTTATTTATAACGATTTAATCATTTCCCTAATGAAAACAATTCGGTAACCGCATGTTATAACATTGCACTTTGTTCGGCTTTCTTTTAGCTTTCCCATTGTCCAGATATTGGGTTTGGCTGCTAATTGATATGATATATTATTGGGTTCATTTAAACTTTCTTTGGATTTTTTTCAGCGGACAGTTGAGAGAAATTATTGAAATAACAAGTTTTCTTCAGAAAATTTTGTCGACAACAAGTTTTTCTATAGAAAATCTTGTCGATAATAAGTTTTTCTGCAGAAAATTTTGTCGATAACAAGTTTTTCTATAGAAAATCTTGTCGATTATAAGTTTTCGTATAGAAAATCTTGTCTATAACTAGTTTTTTTTTATACGGAATCCTTCTATAAGAAGTTTTGCTACAGATTATCATGCCGATAACAAGTTTTTCCTATAGACAAATCTTGTCGATAACAAGTTTTTCTATAGAAAACCATGTCGATAGCAAGTTTTTCTATAGAAAATCCTGTCGATAACAAGTATTTCCATAGAAAATGTTGATAACAATTTTTCCTATAGAAAGTCCTGTCGATAACAAGTTTTTCTATAGAAAGTCTTGTCGATAACAAGTTTTTCTATAGAAAATCTTGTCGATAACAAGTTTTTCAACAGAAAATTTTGTCGATAAGAAGTTTTTCTGTATAAAATCTTGACGATAACAAGTTTTTTATAGAACATCTTGTCGGTAACAAGTTTTTCTTATAGAAAATTTTGTCGATAAAAAGTTTTTCCATAGAAAATCCTGCCGATAACAAGTTATTCTTACAGAAAACGTTGTCGATAACAACTTTTTCTTATAGAAAACCTTCTCTATAGATAACAATCGCTAACAAGCGATAACAATCCCTAACAAGTCGATAACAAGTTCTTCCTATAGAAAATCTTGTCGATAACAAATTTTTCTATGGGGAAACTTGTCCGATAACACGGTTCTCTATAAAAAAACTGATCGATAACAAGTTCTTTTTATAGAAAATCTTGTCGATAACAAGTTTTTATATAGAAAATTTTGTCGATAACAAGTTTTTTATAGAAAATCTTGTCGATAACAAGTTTTTCGATAGAGAATCGTGTCGATAAAAAGTTTTTCTATAAAAAATATTGTCGATAACAAGTTTTTCTGTAGAAAGTTTTGTCGATAACAAGTTTTTATATAGAAAATCTTGCCGATAACATTTTTTTTCTATAGAAAATCTTGCCAATAATCATTTTTTCTATAAAAAAAACATGTCGATAGCAAGTTTTTTCTATAGAAAATCTTGTCGATACAAGTTTTTCTGTAGAAAATCTGGTCGATAACACGTATTTTCGTAAAAAATCTTTTCGATAACAATGTTGTTTTATTGAAAAACGATACTTAGTATCTCCTTCGCAATTCCTTTTGAAAACAAAAATATCAATGATAGGGGTTTCAGCCGTAAATCTAATCGATAACACAAATTCTGGTCGATAATAGTTTTGTCTTGAGAAGATTTTGTCAATTATAAGGTTTTCTATAAAAAATCATTCCAATAACACAGTTCGCCTTGTATTGCAATGAGTTGCAAGTTTTGACATTGTAAATCTGTTGATAATTCTCTGTTTTTCATTTAAATCAGAAACTGGAGCAATCATAAAATAATAATTATGTGTCATTTTTATTATTTTTACATATGAGACGACTGGTAAGGAGACATTGTTATATTGTGTGGTTATTTATGTCATGATGGAACCTTGGCCATTTTTTATAGGTCAATATAACGGACTGCTTGTGATGAAAAAGTTTTAACCCATATATCTTAATAGTTGATTAATTTTTACATTTTGAAAATATCTTTTTGTCCCATTTTTATGTTTCATTTAATTTAATATTTATATCTCATATCACAATTAGGTAATGCAAATCGGAATTTACTTGTCACTAGTGTTGAGTTCCATCTATATTTGAATGCAATGCGGAAGTTATTTAGTTGAATGTAAATACTGCCTCTCCCCCTCGGGAGGCATGCATAGACAATAATCATACATTGTATAGATTGCAATTAACATTTGCGATTCATTGATGTTATTGGCGGACAATGAAGAGCATTCGATAACATTTTTGAGTACTATGAGATGTTGTAATGATGTAATTAACAAACAATGCTGTTCAAGTATTACAATTACGTAGTAACTAGTAATGCGCATTGTTTAGCTAAGTAGATAAATATTTTGTCGACAAAATTTATAAAATATACAGTATATAGTTATCGAATTCATTATCTTTGGCCAGAAAATAATTATCGACGAAATTTTTGATAGTAAATGTTGTTATTGGAAAGATTATAATATCGACAACTTGTTATCGACCAGATAATAATATCGACTAATTGTTATCAACCAGATTTTCTATAGAAAAACGTATTATTATTTTTCAATAGGAAAACTTGTTAGACAAGATGTTCTATAGGAAAACTTATTATCGACAAGATTTTCTATAGAAAAACTTGTTATCGACAAGATTTTCTACAGAAAAACTTGTTATCGACAAGATTTTCTATAGAAAAACTTGTTATCGACAAGATTTTCTATAGAAAAATTTGTTATCGACAAGATTTTCTATATAAAAATGTTGATATCGAAAATGTTTTCTTTGGAAAATGTTGTTATGGACAAGATTTTTTATAGGAAAACTTGTTATCGACAAGATTTTCTGTAGAAAATATTGTTGTCGAAAAGATTTTCTATAGAAAAGCTTGTTATCGAAAAGATTTTCTATAGAAAAGCTTGATATCGAAAAGATTTTCTATAGAAAAGCTTGTTATCGAAAAGATTTTCTATAGAAAAGCTTGTTATCGAAAAGATTTTCTATAGAAAAACTTGTCATCGACAACATTTTCTATTGAAAAACTTGTTATCGACAATATTTTCTATAGAAAAACTTGTTATCGACAAGATTTCCTGTAGAAAAACTTGTTATCGGCAATATTTTCTATGGAAAATGTTGATGTCGAGAATGTTTTCTATGGAAAATGTTGTTATGGACAAGATTTTCTATAAACTTGTTATCGCGAAACTTGTTATCGACCATATTATCTATAGAAAATGTTGTTATCGACATGATTATCTATAGAAAATGATGCTATCGACATTATTATCTATAAAAAACTCTTGTTATCGCCTAGATTTTCTATAGGAAAACTTGTTTTCGACTAGATTTTCTATAGAAATCCCTGTTATCGACAAGATTTTATATAGAAAAACCTTCTATCGACAAAATTTTATATAGAAAATTTTTTTATTGACGTGATTTTACATAGAAAATGTTATCGACAAGACTTTCTCTAGAAAATTTTGTTATCGACAACATTTTCTATAGAAAATTTTGTTATCGACAACATTTTCTATAGAAAATTTTGTTATCGACAACATTTTCTATAGAAAATTTTGCTATGGACAACATTTTCTATAGAAAATTTTGCTATCGACAACATTTTCTATAGAAAATTTTGCTATCGACAACATTTTCTATAGAAAATTTTGTTATCGACAACATTTTCTATAGAAAATTTTGTTATCGACAACATTTTCTATAGAAAATTTTGTTATCGACAACATTTTCTATAGAAAATTTTGTTATCGACAACATTTTCTATAGAAAATTTTGTTATCGACAACATTTTCTATAGAAAATTTTGTTATCGACAACATTTTCTATAGAAAATTTTGTTATCGACAACATTTTCTATAGAAAATTTTGTTATCGACAACATTTTTTATAGAAAATTTTGTTATCGACAATATTTTCTATAGAAAATTTTGTTATCGACAATATTTTCTATAGAAAATTTTGTTATCGACAATATTTTCTATAGAAAATTTTGTTATCGACAATATTTTCTATAGAAAATTTTGTTATCGACAATATTTTCTATAGAAAATTTTGTTATCGACAATATTTTCTATAGAAAATTTTGTTATCGACAATATTTTCTATAGAAAATTTTGTTATCGACAATATTTTCTATAGAAAATTTTGTTATCGACATAGAAAAACTAATTATCGATTGAAGTGTCTTTAAAAAAACTTGTAATAGAGAAGATTTTTCCTATCGACAAGGTTTTCCTTAGGAAAAAGGTATTATTCACAAGTGTTTTATAGGCAGGGAAAGAAAATATATAGAAATAGTTTTTCTTGTAACCTTGTTTTTCTTAAACTACAAATTGTTTAAAATAAATGTTTAAATTTTTCTTATTACATTTCAGATTTATATCAAATAACCATGGCCTATGCCTATTGGAAATCGGGAAAAACAGACGATCATGCTGTGTTCGATTTATTTTTTCGTACAAATCCATTCCATGGTGAATTTACCATATTTGCTGGCTTGGATGAGTGTCTAAAGTTTTTGGACAGTTTTCACTACAGTGATAGTGGTAAGTGTTGCTTAATTTATTTACTAAAATAAAAAATTATTAATTGTCTTTTCTCCATTTTCCAGACATTGAATACTTAAAACAAACCCTACCCGAGGGCACCGAAAACGAATTTTTCGATTATTTGGGAAACCTAACGGCAAAAGACGTAACACTGTATGCCATCGATGAGGGTACAGTGGCATTCCCACGAGTGCCCATCATTAAGGTTGAAGGTCCTTTGATCATTGTACAGCTGTTGGAAACAACGCTATTGACATTAGTTAACTATGCAAGGTTTGTTATTGACGTACTGTCCTTGTTGTTTGAAGATATCATATGAATTGTCTGCTCTTTTTTTTGTGTGTTTCCAGTTTAATGGCAACAAATGCTGCACGTTATCGCATGGTAGCCGGTAAACATGTAAACCTATTGGAATTTGGTTTAAGGCGAGCTCAAGGTCCTGATGGTGGTCTGTCGGCGTCAAAATATTCATATATTGGTATGTTGGAAATGATTCAATTGATGAGTGTGTGTGTGATTTTTATTTTTTGTAATTCTCACGTGATTGATTCTTTTTGTTAGTTATGTGTCAGCGTGAAAGGATAAAAGCAAGAAAGAGAGTCATGTGTTAAATGTCACTTTTGGGTGATTGATAAATAAGGTCATGATTATTTGTCACGGTTTTGATGGCATATCAATGGCAGCTTTTGATAGTTTTATTACCAAAAAAATATAAACAAGTAGCATTGTGTAGTTTGCTTTCTGGGGTGGTATGGGAATGAGGGTCTCTTTTTATAGAAGCCTTAGCTAATTGTCTACATACCTTGGAAATGTATTGTAGATGTATAGAAGGGAGATGTTCTTTCTTATTAAAGAACTATAGAAAATCTTCTTAGGAAGACGTATACCTCTTCTTCTACGGATATATAGAAGGTTTTCTATACGTAAAATGCATATTGATCGGCTTATTATTCCATAGAACGCCTTCGATGTAGATGTAGAATATCATCCATGAACAGAAGACGTATGAAAGGATACTATGTTGTATGGAAGGGTAATTGCAAGGCTTTGTAATATTAGTAGATCGTTTATGATTCAGTCAATGTTGATTATCCTAAGAATAATGGTCCTGTAAGGAACATATTTTTTTTGAAGAAGATGGTGTGATTATAGCAAATTATTGGTGCGACATTTTTACTCAACTTTTGGCATGATATCTAATCCAAACCTTTGACATTTTAACCTAACCTTTGGCATGGTATATTCACCAAACCTCAGCTCGGATTCTGGACATTTTGTTGAAATAAATGTTTATAGCTCCCATATATATATGTTTTATCAGATTTGGTGTTTAAGTCCCTCACATGCGTAATAAGCACTTTACAACAATTATATTTGGTACCAGATATCAGATACAGCCCAGAAATATCTCTGCCAAATTTTATCAAGATCGGTTCAGATTTGGATTTAGCTCCCATATATATCTTCAACCGCCAATATTAGTCTAGAAGCAAGTACAACAAATTTGGTGAAAATCGGTTTAGATATAACTACAGCACATCCGACCGAATTCAGTCTAAAAGCAAGTACATCAAATTTGGAGAAAATCGGTTCAGATATAGCTATAGTTCCCATATATGTTTCATACGATATGGTGTTTACGTCCCTCACATTCGTAATATCCACTCGACAACAATGATATTTAGTACTAGATATCTTATAGAGCTCGAAAATACCTCTGTCAAATTTTATCAAGATCGGTTCAGATTTGGATATAGCTCCCATATATATATTCAACCGATTTCGGTTTTATTGTGCAGCAAATGGCCAATATCTGCCCAAAAATCCTGAATTTTGGTACATCCTACCGAATTCAGTCTAGAGGCAGTTGCATTAAATTCGGAGAAATTCGGTTCAGATATAGCTATAGATCCTATCCTATCCGATTCGGTGTTTAAGTCCCTGAAATTCGTAATATCCATTTGACAACAATGATATTTGGTACCAGATATCATTTAGAGCTCGGAAATACCTTTGCCAAATGTTATTAAGATCGGTTCAGATTTGAATATTCTTAAGCCGATTTCGGGTTTATTGTGCAAATAATGACCAATATCAGCCCAAATGGAGTGAGTTAAGGGACGTACGTTTCCATTTTGTGGTGCTCGGCTCCGAGATATATTTTTTAAAATAATTCTTCTCGAAGTGCTATCATACACTATAGCAATGTTATTTGGTATAAAAGATTAAAATATCTCCGTCAAATTTAGTAAAAATCGATTCAGAATTTGATATGCCTCCCATATATTAGTTCCCTCTGAAACCAAACTATAACTGCTCTAAAGCCAAATATTGATTGGTGGTATAATCTATTTCAAATAAATTCTTTTGTTACGGGAGCTCTACTAAATATGCATAGTGGTGTAGGGTATCATATAATCGGCCCGAACGACTTTAGACTTTTCCTTACTAGACCGCTTCAGCGAGCTCTTAATTACAGTAGACCACAATATTAGTCTTGTGTTAATATTAGGTCGTCAAATTTAGAAGACCAACACATTGGACTTCTTTCGACTTCTTTTTTTTGTCTGTCTTGTATTTAAAAGAAACCTCACAACTCTTATTTTTAAAAATTGACAATCTGATTGTCATCCTATCATTGGAAACCCTTCTCCCTTTAGATACTTTTCACGGAATTTCATATTTTTCCAACTATACTGGTGTTACCAAACTTCTAACCATTTACTTAATGCATGTGCATGAATAATCAATTAAATCGTCGCTCACAAAAGTAGTAAGGGACAGAAGAAGAATCAATGGAAATCTCCATGAATGTATCACCTTTAAAGTTACCCGTCCCAAATGGTGGTGAGTGGGAACAAGGTGCTGTATTGGATTTCTACACCTTTAAAAAAAAACAATGTCATTTCAAACTACTAGCAACCACAACAACACCAACAATAGAACAAAAAAACTTTTGTCTTTTTGCAATGATTTATGGAGTCGCAGCGATTAACGACAGACAAACATGCAGGCAATCAACATTCCTTTTTAATGTTTTCCTTTTTGTTCCATTGTTTTCGAACTTCATAAAGTATCGAACAAAAATTTTGAAAATTACCTTTATCCCTCCAAGGAAGGGTATTTAAAATTTTAAAAAATTATTTAGAAAATTGTTGTTGGGGTAATACCCCAACGTAATTGTAGGCATATCACAAAAGTTTCTTGTGTGTGTGTGTGTATGCGGGTGACTGACTCTCAAACTTTGTTTCCTGTCTAGGCAAACTACTTTGGCCCAAAGAACTTTGCTTTCAAATCTCCCCCCTCCCTCCACGCTTAACACGCTTTTGCCATGACACGTGTGTGTTGTATCCAAAGTGTTGCTCAGGTGAGAGTGTAGCTTTCTCCATGTGTTAAGATGTCGTTTTACGTTTCAGTTTTTGTTTTGCGTTTTTTTTTTTGGTACCATCCAGTACCTGGATGTTTTCATTTTGTTTGACTGGCTGTTTCTGTTAGTCTTTTCGATGATTTTTAATGATTGCGCAAATGTGTTCACTCTTTGAAACAACACATCGTAAATCATTGGCACCTATTGCCAGCCTGCCCATGGCTGGCAGGTGGTGAAGTCATCCACCAGAAGGCTGTAGGAGTTTTGGAATTTCCCTTGTACAACAAATTGTTTTAATGTCATTAAATTGGTTATATCCTTTAATGGTGCCTTTTATGGCAACTGCATAGTTTTGTCATCATCTAGGACAATTATGTGGCAGTAGCTGCAGCAGGAGTAGCAGCTAATTGCTTGTATTTAATTATTAATTACTGGTGCATTGCAAAGAAGGCTTTCTATGCGGACAATGAAGGTTGATCTTATAAAATGTAATTTTTATATTGAGTATTTTACAATGGAATGGTGGGTGCAAGGGGGGAGGGTTCAAAATTGTCAAGTGATCTGGGTAAATATGGCAGGCAGGAAAAGACGCAGCTGGACTGGTACTCCATGCTTTATAGAAGTTCTCTATTGAGTTTTGATTGAGTTATTATTTTGATTGGTATAAACAAGATTTTTTAAAGATTTATTTGAAAGATATTAAAATTTTTTTTTTTAAGTTTTTATGCCCTCCACCTGGAGGGTATATTAAGTTTGTCATTCCGTTTGTAACACCTCGAAATACATATATTAGACCCCACAAAGTATATATATTCTTGATCAGCATAAATTGTATGTCTAAATCTAAACGCTAAATTGATGTCCGTCCGTCTGTGGAAATCATTCTAGCTTCCGAACAAAATGAAGTAGATTGATAAAATTTTACTCAAATGTATAATATGTCAGCAGGACTTTTGGTATTGAAAATGGGTCATGTAGGTCCACGTTTTGGTATGGCCCCCAAATAAACGGCACCTCCCGATATTCGGTATTTTGATGATTTTAGCGACATTATTAACCGGAATTGTTTCAAATTTGGTATTTGAAAGTTCTGCCTGGCCTCAACGTTGCTGCTTTTTTGCTTGTTTTTTTTTTCAAGGTTTTTTCTTTTGGTTGAGTAGGAGGACCAACAGACGAATACTCGTGAATTTTTTAAGGACATTTAAAGACGTATTTCTTAAAGATATTTTTCAAGGATCAATAGACCAATAAACCTTGATTTTTTATCGCGTTTTTAAAGGACTAAAAGGCCGAACTTGGATTTGTTTACACCATTTTTTAAGGATTTTTGTATGGAACAACAAACTTTCAATGTTTAAGGACTAACCTTCGAATAACCGATTTTTTTAAACATTTTTTCATGGATCAACAATGGACAGAATGAAATTGGATTTTTTTTAATATTTTTTCAAGGACCAACAGATACCTGCAATTTAAGTTAAGGGTTAGGTTTCAGGAATTTAGGCCAAACATTGTTAAGGCCTACATATAGTTTTGACAAAGAGATCCCAATTGTTAGAAATAATTTTCACCACATTTAGTCTAGAGCTTTGAGATTTTTTGGAGATCTTTGGGTTGCATCTAAAATGATTGTTGCAGAAAATGGATCATATCGGTCCACTTTTTGGTATAGCCCTCATGTAAGGATAACTCCGATATCGAGTTTTTTTTATAAGTTTAGGCTATCTTTTCCTACAAAAACACACATTTAAATACTTATTTTCTTAAAGAATCTTGTATCCCAAAAAACACTACCCAAATTAATAAAAATTTCATTTTCTTTCAGGCGGTTTCGATGGCACTTCGAACGTTTTGGCTGGTAAACTTTTCAATATTCCTGTCAAGGGCACCCATGCTCATGCCTATATAACATCATTTTCGGGTATTGGTGAGCTAAAGACACGCCTATTGAAACATAAGACAACAGGTGAGTGAAATCGCTTCGTTACTTTAAAACTCTCATTATTCATTATTCGTTTTATTACCTAGGTGTAACGGGAGATCTTCTCGAATTGGCTGTACAATATCGCCAGGCGCTGTCTCAGCTGCTTGACGTTTCCATGGAAGAATCCTCTGAGGGTGAATTAGCCGCAATGGTCTCATATGCCATTGCATTTCCCGATGGATTTATGGCTCTAGTCGATACGTACGATGTTAAGAGGTATTTCGCTTTTAGGCAAACTCTCTCGGAACAAAAGAAAAAAAGAATTTACCATTTATTTAGATATGTTTATTTTGAAAAAAATTTCCCCATCAAAAGCTAATAATGATATTCTATTGGAAGCAAAACAAAAAAAAAACAACATTATTGCACTTCTAACCATAGCGTTGTCAATTAATATCATAGTGTTATTAATAACCAACAACATATTTCAAGTAACCGGCAATTAACCAGTTATTGTGTTTCGTCCTGCCATCAGATTATTTTCGCCCTCTTTGTGTGTGTACGTCTCTTGCTAACATTTGTTTTTTTTTAATTACAAGATTTTGATTTTCATATTTGTTTGTAATGCTCTACACCACTATATGATTTGAAAAGAAGTTTGGTATTCATAGATGTATGGGTCTGTAGTTAAAGTCTTCGGATAAAAAGTCCATTTTGGAAGTCAATGTTTGAATGGAATACTTACCTTCCATATACAGAAGACTTACATATTTTCTTCTATGTATGACTTGCTGAGGGATAGAAGGAAACAAGAAAGGAATCTTACAGAGCTCCATAAAGATATGTTTTTTTCGGGAAGGGTAATTCTGCTGCCATGAATTGCTCTCTAGTTATCCAAGTAATTTTTAACGACCCAAAGAACCTCTAGGAACATAATAACCCATTTGCGTTTTAGCTATTAATTCGATGTATTCTGTGGTGCTACCTTCAAGGTTACTACCCTGACAAAGAAGGTTTAAATATGATGACAGTGAAAATAGGGCAATGTACCTGACAGATTTAACGCACAGATTACTGCTTGAAATCGAACCGGAAGCTGAAAGTGATATATTTGTAATGAAAATTGCTCCCAAGAGGAGGATCAAATCATCTATCCATAACCGTCTTCATCTCTCCATAAACACGAAAATCAAATTTTCACAAGTTTAGGTAGTGCATCATACCTTATTCTTATATATAGCTCTCTTCGAGTTTTCGAAGTGGCAGGAAACTTTCCTGCGGCTATCCTGATAAGTTAAAGTCATGTAATCCAAATAGTCAATGATCATAAAAAGAACTACAGATTAGTCAAAGTACATGCATCAATTCCAACCAGTAAGCAAAAGTCATAAATCGGGCGGGGCCAACTGTGTGCTATAGAGTGTAGGATATCACTTCGAGAAGGATTATATTAAAAAATATATATCGGTGCCGAGTTCCACAAAGTGGAAACGTACGTCCTGAAATTCACTCCATTTGGGCTGATATTAGCTATTATTTTCACAATAAACCTGAAATCGGATTTAGTATATATGGAAGCTATATCCAAATCTTAGCCGTTCTCGATCAAACTTGGCAAAGGTATTTCCGAGCTCTATAAGATATCTGGTACCAAATATCATTGTTGTCGAATGCATATTACGAATGTGAGGGACTTAAACCCCCAAATCGGATGATACATATATATGGGAGCTATAGAAATATCTGAACCGATTTTCTCCAAATTTGATGTAATTGCTTCTAGACTGAATTCGGTCGGATATGCCAAAATTCAGGTCATTTGGACTGACATTGGCAATTTGGTGTACATTTAACCTGAAATCGGTTAAAGATATATATGGGAGCTATATCCAAATCTAAATCGACCGATCTCGATAGAATTTGACAGATGTGTTTTCGAGTAGTATCTGATGTCATTCATGTGGAGTGCATATTATGCATGTGAGGGACTTAAAACCCGAAATCGGATGAAACATATATATGGGAGCTATAGCTATATTTGAATCGATATTTTCCCAAATTTGATGTACTTGCTTCTAGATAGAATTCGGTCGGATGTACCAAAATATAAGACTTTTTGACAGATATTGGCCATTTGACCGGAAATCAGTTTAAAATATGTATGGGAGCTATATCCAAATCAGAACCGATCTTGATAAAATTTGGCAGAGATATTTCCGGGCTATATCTGATACCAAACATCATTCTTGTGGGGTGCATATTACGCATCTGAGGGACTTAAAATCCCAAATCGGATGAAGCATAAATAGGGGAGCTATGAATCGATTTTCTCCAAATTTGATGTAATTGCTTCTAGATTGAATTCGGTGGGTTGTACCAAAATTCAGGTTATTTGGACTTATATTGGCCATTTGGCGCACAATTAACCCGAGATCGGTTGAAGATATATGACAGCTATATCTAAATCTGATCTGATTATCACCAATTTCAATAGGATTTGTCCCTGGGCCAAACAAATATTGTCTGGACAATTTCATCTCAAACGGATAATAAATGCAATCTGCATTTTCGTCACAAGAATACGTGGACTAACGGACTGATGACATGCATAAATCGACTCAGTAAAAGATTCTATGAAGATCCTCAAAATTAACTATGGGTCTATCTCGCTTCCTTTTTCATGTTACAAACAAATGCACAAATACATAATACCCTTGCCACTATGTGGTGTAGGGTATAAAAAAGACCGAGGAAAAATGGATTAAAAAATAGAAAAAATTTTCGCATTCTTTTACAGATATTTTCTGGATATATAATGAAAACAGAGATTTGTTTTTAGTGATTAACACTGAAATTTGATTAAGATAAATTGGTCCTCGACGTCATGCTTGGTCTTTGTAGGATAATTTTGCATAAAATTGCATGAATTACGAATTATGAAATTCTGGTGTTTGGGTAAGATTTAGACTTTTCATGTCTTCTGGTACCGATAATAGAATTTTGTGTTAAATAAATTTGTAGAATATTTCGACTTGTTACGATCCCGTTTAAAGGATGTTTGTAACAATATTTTGGAAAAAAGACCAAAAAACTCACTTGAAAGTAAATATATTGACCAAAATAATTCTCGTATTGTTAACTGTTTTATTAACGAAGGCAAAGTGTACCTAAAATGTAAGGATTCTCAGGAATCGTATCCCAAAATTGTTGGTGTTGTTATTTAAAGTGGTGTAGAGTATTTTATAATCGGTCCAATCGATTTAAATAATTTTTTATTAAAAAAATACAAAAGAGTGTATCCTCCTGTTCGTTTGTGTACAACAGCCCTACATGTGATTATATGACTAAAAACCAACAACAACTACAACATAGTACATACAAATAAATTTTCCTAAAATTTTGTTTTCAAAAATAGCAAAAATGCCAAAAATAATGAGAATTTAAATGTTACCAACACCACTACAACTACTACTACTATTGCCAATACTAAAATCAAGCCAAACAATAAAGTGACAACATCAAAATCCCTTGATGTTTCACAGAATGATAATAAGAAACATTTATCAAATGGAATTCAAACGTCCCCGCCATCCCAACAGCCACATCATATCAATGGTAATGGCTTGGAGAAAATGCACGATGCGAACTGTGATACCTTCAAGAACTCCCATTCAAATGGCAATTCAAATCATAAAACTGGCACACGAAATGGCTTACGAACATCGGCATCGACGCCATCGCAGCCGTCATGTAACTTAAATACTCGTAACATTTGCAAAGAGAACAATTCTCAAAAACCATTAAATCAGTCACCATCATCATTACTGCCAAAATATGTCGTGAAGTCATACAGGTAATTATTGTAAAAATTGCACTTTCTTTCTTTCTCTCTCCCTCTCTTTCAACTACAAACTTTCCCTGCTCTTACTACTCTTCAAAAGGGAATAATTTTCGAACTAATTTTTTTGATTTAGATTTACTTTTTTTTTTGCTTGAATATTGTAAAAAAGTTTTAATTTAAGATTGGAGTTGGTTTAATAAAAATATTTTAAATCATAATTTTTTTCTTGAAAAAGGTCTATAAATTTTTCTAATATTTTTTTCAAAGTGAAATATTATTTTTTTGTTGTTAAAAACTCACTCCAATTATTAAAAAAATATTTAGTTTAATTATACTTTTTTCGTTTATTGCGCCTCTCTATCACCTATTTGTATTCATATCATCCTGATATATTAGTGAATATTTTTCTTAAGCCCTTTTCTTTCTCAATGCATGTCCTTGGTCTGTTTTGATATTTTGTTATTATTTTTCACTTCATTTCCTAATAGTCAATATCCTAATAAAACAAGTGTTGTATTTTTTTGATATCTATTTGGGTCAGGGTATTTTTATTTTTTTAAGAAAATTACATTTTTATAAGTATAAATCACTAAAAGTTATTTAATTTCAGAGTTATCACTTTTGAGCGTTTTTGACCATGAACTCCTGTGAATAGCTACCAGCCTGCATTTATAAAACAAGGAAGAATTGCAATTTTATCGCAAGTCGGTTCAAAAATGTTGCTGTGCATGAAGGAAATTAGTTATGGATTAAGAGACTCCCGATTGGCAACAATCAAATGCTTTGGTTGGAAAAGAAACGGGTTCTTTTGAAGGCCTTGCACAATATAATTGGAGATTTACAATTTTTATCTTTTTGATACACTTTCTTTTGAATCTCCTTGAGAGAATTGGTAGTCAAAATTCTACGCACATAAACTGCATCGCTGCATACAGTCTGGCCATTCCACTTATATATTTTCGGGATAGTCTGACTCAAAATTAATATCTAAACCAGTAAGGAAAGGTCAAAAGTGGAGTGGGGCCCTGGTATATTGGAAATTTATGTGAAGTAGATCATATAACATATATAGTATATATCTGAACCGATTTTCTTCAAATTTGATGTGCTTGCTTCTAGACTGATCTCAGTCGGATGTGCTGAAACTAGCCATTTGGTGCACGAAAAACCTAAAATCGGATAAAGATATATATGCGAGCTACATCCAAATCGGAACCGATCTTGACAAAATTTTAGGCACTTATTTCTGAGCTGTTTCTGATATCTGGTACCAAAGATCATTGTGGTCGGATGGATATTACGAATCTGAGGGACTTAAACACCAAATCGGATGAAACATATATATGGGAGTGGGAATGGGAGTTATTACTATATTTGAACTGATTAACACCAAATTTGAATTACTGGTTTATAGGATTGATTCAGTCAAAATTCAGTCCATTTGGATCTGTATTAGCCATTTGGTGCCCGAAAAACCTAAAATCGGATAAAGATATATGTGGGAGCTATATTCTAATCTTAACCGATCTCTATTTGACAGAGGTATTTTTGAGCAGGATCTGATGTCCGGTACCAAATATCATTCTTCTGGAGTCCATATTACGCATGTGAGGGACTTAAACTCCAAATCGGATGAAACATAGATATGGGAGATATAGTTATTTGATATATTTGCTTCTAGCCTGAATTCGGTTGGATGTGTTCAGGTAATTTGGACTGATATTCACCATTTGATGCACAATTAACCCGAAATCGGTTGAAGATATAGGTGGGAGCTATATCTAAATTTGAACCGATTCTCACCAATTTCAATAAGGGTCGTCCTTGGGCCAAACAAATATGGTTTGGAAAATTTAATCTCAATCGGTCCTGCATTTTGTTCACTAAAATACATGGACAGACTGACGTACGGACAGACGGACTAACATGCATAAATCGACTCAGAAAGTGATTCTATGAAGATCCTCAAAAGTAACTATGGGTCGGACGGACAGACGGACCGACAAGTATAAATCGACTCAGAAAGTGATTCTATCACGATCCTCAAAAGTAACTATTCGTCTATCTCGCTTCCTTCTCCATGTTACAAATGCACAAAGACATAATACCCTTATCGCCATGTGGTGTAGGGTATAAAAATCGTATGTTGGCTACTATTCACACGATTCATTTGTCAGCAAATAGGATATATTTTTAAATTAATTATAATTTTTTTTATTATTCAAATGTAATTTTCTTTATTTGTACCTTATTTTTCCTTCCAACAAACAATTTTACAATGATTGGCATGAACTTTGTATTGGTCTTGGAAAATCTTTATAGTTCTATGTTGAATGTTACAAAATGAATGTTTTTCAAAAACTCAAATTGTTGATATTGGCCTATAACCTTATTAGATACATTGGTCCAAAAGTTGTTCTCAGTGCACAAGAACTGAGATGATTTTTGTATTTTAATTTTGACAGGTAAATATTGCTAAAAATATCATGGTCATTATTATTTTTAATTTTGTTTTGCATGCGAATTATTATTTAAGTTTTTCTTTCTATTATTTAATTAATAGTGTAATTATAAAGAATAATTGTTAAACATGGATTTCTAAATTATTATTTTTTTTTTAAATTCAACGATCTATACAGATATTAACTTGATTTTCTTCGAAAAACTTAGTGGGCTATTAACTCGTTTTTTGTACCCTCCCCCATGCATAGTATGGAGGGTATATTAAGTTCGTCATTCCGTTTGTAACTCATCGATATAATAATTTTAGACCCAACAAAGTATATATATTCTAGATCAGCGTAAAATTTTAAGACGATATATCCCTGTCCGTCCGCTACGCTAGAGTCAAAACCAATAAAGATAGGAAGGTAAATTTTTGCACAGATTAGTCTTTTGTTTTTGCTATATCGGTCCACGATATCGTATGGGCCCCATATAACGGTACCCCCCGATATTCGGTATTTTCATGATTTTAGCGACATTATTCACCGGAATTGTTTCAAATTTGATATTTAAAGTTCGTAATAGATACTACAGCCTATGACAGAAAATTGTCTGTGCAGGTCCACGTTTTGGTGTAGCCCCCATATAACTGTACCTCCCTATATTCGGTATTTTGATGATTGTAGCCAAATTTTTCAATGGAATTGTCTAAAAATTCATATTAAAAGTTATTTCTAAGCACTTTACCTCCTGGAAGAGAAATGTATATATAGGTCCACGATATCGAATAGCCTCCATATAACGGTACCTCCCGATATTCTGTATTTTAATGATTTAAGCGACATCATTCACTGGAATTGTTTCAAATTTGGTATTTGAAGTTCGTAATGGATACTACAGCCTATGACAGAAAATTGTCTGTGCAGGTCCATGTCATCGTACAGCCCCCATACCTCCTGATATACGATATTTTGATGATTTTAGCATCTTTTTTCAAAGATTTTTTTTATTAAGTTTCGCATTTGAATTTTGTAATGGCTTATGTCAAAATTTGCCTATGCAGGTCCTCGTCGTCGTATAGACCCCAATATTACGGCTACATTCTTTATTTTTAAGATTTTAACAGAATTTTTAACGGATTTTATTATTTTTTTTTTTTTTGAAAAATTCCAAATTTGTACCAAATGGTGGAGGGTATTTAATGTTCGACCCGACCAAATTTACAGCATTTTTCTTTTTTTTTTAAGAATATCAGAGCTATATAGAAGAGACTATTAACGTAGGTATTCTTTTATTAATATTTTGAAGGACTTTCAGGGGCATCGACTTGCGTATTTAAAAGAAGTTTTGTTTAAGGACGAACACTGATTGATTGTTTTCCTTGTTTTTTTTTTTTTTTTTTTTTTTTTTTTTTGTTATTAATACTATTTTATTTTTTTTAATTATTATTAGATTTTATTCCTCATATAATGTCGACTACATACTAACCCATCATTGCTTTTGGTTTGTAGCATTACTAATACCATTTTTTTTATTTATATTTTTTTGCTTCACTGTACATTATTTATTTAAATTGGCTTGTTATTTTCTTCTCATATATTTTTTTTATAATTTTTAAAAAAATGTATTAACCATTATTCTAATTTAATCAGGAATGAAAACAATTTTTAAATTCTCATTAAAAAAAGCATCGTTTAACCAAAGTAAAACTTCATTCAAAATGAAAATTAAAAAAAAACAAAAAACAAACCCTATGACTTCCCGGCACTATTTTGGCAGAGGTATGTAAAACGACACAGACATCTACTATCTTCAAATCATTACAACCACCAAAACTCCAAAAAAAAAAAAAAATAAATAAATAAATAAAAAACAACAACAAAAAATGAATTCATATTTAACCAAGAAAATAATAAAAATTCATTTCTCAGATATAAATATAAAAATTAAAAATATATATTTTTTAATTATATGTATGTATTTGTTTATGTCTATGTGTGTTAAGTTTATTTGAAAACAAAATATTGTTACTTTTTGTCTTTGTTCTTCCCCAAAAAACAAAAAAAAAACACCAACTGTTCCATGTTGCATTTAGATTTAGGCTTGGGTTTAAGTTAATATAGCAGAAACAAATGAACTCAATATTACTAGATTTGAATTGCAAATTGTTTTTTTAGAATTTTAAGTAAATGTATTTAAAATACCACTAAATCACTTTCTTGTGATCCATACAATCATCCATTGTTCCACCACACCCATGCATTTCATATCATCCATTTCATTATTAAGTGGAAATTGTCACTGTTTCTAGTTTGAAAAAAAAAAAAAAACAAAACAATGCAAAAAAATAAAAAACAATTTTATTCCCCAGTCTAAAATGGTCCGAGAGATAACACTGCATGGCTTCTGTAAACCGAACATGTTTGAGCCGCTATTACGCTTGATTTTTTTCTAATATTTCACATTTATTTTTTCATTTCCTATTTAAAATAATTTAATAATATCGATTTCGAAGAAATTGAGAGCATCATATCCGAGGTTAACAAGGATTTTAGAACATTTCAAACGTGAATTTTTAGAATATTGCTTTCTCAGGGACTATTAAACTTTAATTTTGTGTTTTTAGGAATATCATTTTAAGGGACTCTTAGAATCATAAGAATAGGTTTTTACCAAATTTTTAGGCAGTTAAAAATTTCGACATTGGGATGATTTTTTCGAAGCATTATCAGAGCCAAAAACGTGAATTTTAAAGGAAAGATTTTTTTTTTGATTTTGAAAACAATTTTTTGAGGAATAGTGCAGTGAAGGAATGTCAGAGCTTATAAAGGGCAATAAATGTGATGAATTTTTCGAAGCATTATCAGAGTCAAAAACGTGAATCTTTAAGTCTTTTAATCTTTTTTCAAGGTGTCAAGAAATGGAAGACTTTTTATTAAAGAAATTTGAGATTTTGAAATCAATTTTTGAGGACTTTTAGTGCAGTGCAGTGCCAGAGCTCTATAAAGGACAAAAAATGTGTACTTTAATTTTTGTGAAGTAATTTCAAGGCTATTGGAGGATTATTATTTTGGACATTTAAATTATTATTTTAATGAATATCTCATATATATTACAGCGATAATAGATAGATTTTAAAATTCAATATTTCATAGGAATTTCAGAGCTATTAACTAGGATTTTAAAATATTTTTTTTAATATCAGGGCTGTTGTGAGTGTTTTTAATAACAATTTTGCAGAAATATAAGGGTTATTAAAGAGCTATTAATTTGTCTGTCTCGCAGTTACTCTCAAAGGGAGTTTCCGATTTGGTCTATATTTGGCACATCGTAATATTATTGCCAAACTTAGATCGAGTTTCGAGATGAGTAATATCGGACCACTTCTTCTGGTACCTCCCCCACAACCAGACAAAATTTTGAAAATCATCACTGATCACTTTCAAGATCGACACAAGAGTTTTTAATTTTTTTTTTTTTAAAGAATTTGTCAAATATTTGTAAAGAAAAATTTTCAGAGGATATTTCTTAATTTGTAGAAAAAACATATTTTATAGTCTAAGCTTGAAAAGCCCTTGAAATAAGTTTTTCTACAAATTAACGAATATTCTCTGAAAATTATTCTTCGCAAATATTTGACAATCTCTTTGATAAATTCTTAAATGCTCTTCGATAAATATTTCGGCAATTATCCTCAAAAATGTATGCTTCAGAAAAACCTTGACAATCTCTTCGAAAGTCCCAATCATTTTTCCTGAAATTAATTTTTAAAAGTTTTTCAAGGACCAACAGGCCATGAAACTCGGATTTTTAGAAATATTTTTTTAGTTTTAGATGGTCCGACTATCAAACGTGTATTTTATATACCCTCCACCATACGTAGTATTCTGTCCTCCGTCTGACCGTCTGTTGTAATCACGGTAGAGTCTAAACGAATTAAGATAGAAAGCTAAAATTTTGGACAGATCAATATTTTGTCTGCAGGCAGGTCAAGTTCGAAGATGATGGATATCGATCCATGATATAATTTAGCCTCCATATAACGGTACCCCCCGATATTCGGTATTTTGATGATTGTAGCCAAATTTTTCAATAAAATTGAATGAAAGTCCACAATAGGAGTTCCTCCTGAGTACTTTACCCCCTGGAAGAGAATTGTTTATATAGGTCCACGATAACGTGTAAAACGGTACCGCCCTACATTCGGTATTTTTATGATTTTAGCTACATTTTTCAACGGAATTGTCTCAAAATCCATACCAGAAGTTATTTCTAAGCACTTTACCCCCTGGTAGAGAAATGTCTATATGGGTCCACGATATTCGATATTTTGACAATTTTTTGGGACATTATTTACCGGAGTTGTTTCAAATTTCGTATTTAAAATTCGTAAATACAACGGTACTCCCGATATTTTGACGATTTTAGGGACATCATTCACCGGAGTTGTTTCAAATTTCGTATTTAGAATTCGTAATAGGTACTACAGCCTATGCCAGAAAATTGCGTACGCAGGCTCACGTCTTCGTATAGCCTCCATAGAGGGGTACCTTCCGATATTCGGTATTTTGATGATTTTAGCGACATTATTAACCCGAGTTTTTTTTTTCAAATTTGGTATTTAGAGATCGTAATGGGAACTACAGCCTGTGACAGAAAATTGTCTATGCAGGTTCCGGTCTTCGTATAGGCCCCATATATCAGTACCTCCCTATATTCCGTATTTTGATGATTTTAGGTACAATATTCACCGAAATTGTTTGAAATTTCATAATGGAAATTCCTAATAGGTAATGCAGAATATGACAGAAAATTGTCTATGTAGGTCCAGGTCTTCGTATAGCTCCCATGATTTTAGCTACATTATTCACCGGAATTCTTTTTTTCAAGTTTCGTTTTTGAATATTGCAATGGCTTTTGACAAAAGTTGCATATACAGGTACACGTCTTCCTATAGACCCCAATATAACAGCAATATTCGGTATTATTTACATTTTAAAAGAATTTTTAACGGATTTTATTTTTTTTTTTGAAAATTTCCAAATGCGTTCCAAATGGTGGAGGGTATTTAAAGATCGGCCCGGTCGAACTTACTGCTTTTTGTCTGGTTTTTTTCTGAATCTGATCTACAAACGAGGATTTTTACGGAATATTTTTTTCAAGGACCAACAGGATATGCTCAATCATAATTGTTTAAGAATTAAGTTATTTAAGTTTTTTGGGAAATTTACTTCGTTTTAATCTTTGAATTTTAAAAACAATAGGGCTTTTAAAGACTCTCATAGGTATTATTTAGACTTTTTTTTTTAAATTATAGTTCTTTGGAAGTTTTTACAGATATTCGTAGTTATTATCGAGGATTTAAAAAAAAAAATTCCAAAGTGGATATTAAAAATTTTAGTGGATATTCCAGGGAAACTATTTCAAGAAAACTCAGAGCTATAGGTGTAGAATCTTAAAATAACTTTTCAAGGCTCTTTGTGGCAATTATTAGTGATTTCCAAAAGAAAGAGAGATAATATCAATAACTTTTAAATTAAACATTTCAAGGACTTTCAGAGCAATAATCGTTGATTTTTAGAGGAATATTTCAAAATGGCAATTTTTAGTGCCAAACTCGATCATTTTTAAAGGAATATAATTATCAAGTGAATTTCGGAGACGAATTTATTAGCTTTATTTTTCAAAATTATTAGGGGTTCGTTTTTTGCAGTAAAGAGTTATAATTTTAAAATTTTTGGAGGATAATTTTTTTCGGAGTTTTTAAGTCTATATTCATCGATTATGAAATATTTCCTTTGGGAGTTTTTTTTTAAGATTTATCCTTGGTCGTTCAGAATTATAAACGTCGATTCCTGTTAACGTTGTCTTCATATCAGAAACAATTTCTACACATCTCGATTAATATTATGTTTCAATATTTTATTTTTAAAATCAATAAATAACCCATTTATCAGAATTTTTAGTTTAAACTCTAGGTTTTGTAGGTTAGGATAACAAATTTATTACTTACCACGTTTTTAATTAACACACAAACACACCCTCAAACACCCAAGTTGCTATGCACTTTTGTAAATAACAATTTATTATTATTAAAAAATTAAATTATTTATTAAAATCACTAATTAAAATATTATTTTGTCTCTCTCTCTCTCTTTTCACCTCTCTTTTTTGACGTTTTTCTCCGTGGCATCAGGAGTGGTTTGCTTAACTTTTCAGCCGTGGCCTTGGCCCTCAACGATTTGGGCTATCGGGCTGTGGGTGTTCGCATCGATTCCGGTGACTTGGCCTATTTGTCGTGTCTGGCTCGTGAGACATTCGAACGGGTGGGAGAGAATTTCAAAGTGCCATGGTTCAGTAAACTCACCATTGTGGCATCGAATGACATCAATGAGGATACGATTTTGAGCCTAAACGAACAAGGGCACAAGATTGATTGTTTTGGTATTGGCACACATTTGGGTGAGTGGTGGGAATTTTGAAAAAAAAAAAAAAAAAAATAATTTCAAAAATATTAAATCTAATTTTATTTATTTTACAGTAACCTGTCAACGACAACCGGCCTTGGGCTGTGTCTACAAATTGGTTGAGATTAATGGTCAACCAAGAATTAAACTAAGTCAGGATGTGGAAAAGGTTACCATGCCGGGACATAAGAATGCATTCAGGTAGGGAATTTTTAAATTTCAATATTTTAACTGAAAAAAATTATAATAAAATAATAATTTTATTTCAGACTATACAGCGCCGATGGCCATGCCCTAATTGACCTTTTACAAAAGGTCACCGAGCCTCCACCGGCTGTGGGACAAAAGGTGCTTTGCCGCCATCCTTTCCAGGAGTCAAAGCGCGCCTATGTCATTCCATCGCATGTCGAGTCCTTGTATAAAATCTATTGGCAAAATGGTAAAATAGTCCAGCCGCTGCCGAGATTAGAACAGGTTCGGGAGAGGGTTCAAATGTCATTGAAGACACTGCGGAATGATCACAAACGAACACTGAATCCCACTCCATATAAGGTAGGGATAATAACTACGTTCAAGTTATTAGATGTGAAGGAAAAAGGAAATTTGGGTTCTCTAAGAACTTCTTCTATGAGAAGACCTTCGGGTCTTCTATGAGAAGACCTTTTGGTCTTCTATGAGAAGACCTTTTGGTCTTCCCGTGAGAAGACCTTTTGATCTTCTATGAGGAGACCTTTTGATCTTCTATGAGAAGACCTTTTGGTCTTCTATGTGAAAACCTTCTAGTCTTCTATGACAAGTCTTTTTGGTCTTCTGAGAGAAGACCTTTTGTTGTTCTATGAGAAGACCTTCTGGTCTTCTATGAGAAGAACTTTTGGTCTTCTATGAGAAGACCTATTGGTCTTTTATAATAAGACCTGTTTGGTCTTCTATGAGAAGACCTTTTGGCCTTCTATGAGAAGACCTTTTGGCCTTCAATGAGAAAACCTTTTGGCCTTCTATGAGAAGACATTTTGGCCTTCTATGAGAAGACCTTTTGGGCTTCTATGAGAAGACCTTCTGGTCTTCCTATGAGGAGATCTTCTGGTCTTTTTTGAGAAGAACTTTTGGTCTTCTATGAGAAGAACTTTTGATCTCCTATGGGAAAACCTTCTGGTGTTCTATGAGAAGGCCTACTGGTCTTCTATGATAAAACCTTCTGGTGTTCTATGAGAAGAACTTTTAATCTTCCATGAGAAGACCTTTTGGCCTTCTATGCGAAGACCTTCTGGTCTTCTATGAGAAGACCTTTTGGTCTTCTACGATAAGACCTTCTGGTCTTCCTATAAGAAGACCTTTTGCTCTTCCTATAAGAAGACCTTTTGCTCTTCCTTTGAGAAGACCTTCTGCTCTTCCTATGAGAAGACCTTCTGCTCTTTCTATGAGAACACGTTTTGGTCTTCTATGTGAAGACCTTTTGGTCTTTTATGAGAAGACCTTCTTCTGGTCTTCTATGAAAAGACCTTCTTCTGGTCTTCTATGAGAAGACCTTCTTCTGGTCTTCTATGAGAAGACCTTCTTCTGGTCTTCTATGAGAAGAACTTCTTCTGGTCTTCTATGAGGATACCCTTCTGGTCTTCTATGGGAAGACCGTCTAGTCTTTTATGCAAAGACCTTTTGAGAATATTTTTTCAAAAACCAACAAGGGAGGAAATTCCATGAAATTTTTTAGGGACCACAATCTAAGAACTACAACCCCAATTCTCATAAAATTAATTTATTTGATATCATACTTTTTATAATTCTTCAACTTATTTTTGCAGGTTGCTGTCAGCGATAATTTGTACAATTTCATTCATGATTTGTGGCTGCAGAATGCTCCAATTGGTGAACTGTCATGATCTATATAAGGCATTTGTCCACCAACAAAAACCTATGGCTTTTTGGAACAATTTGAACAAGCCAACAAAATTACACAACAACAACGACGACAATAGCTGGTTATGCCGTATTCTAAAACCATAGCACTGGTTGTTATGTGGAGTAAAAAATATTTGTACAGGACTGTTACAAAAAGTTATTTTTTATATTTGGTTGGCATAGCATTCAATTCAATTGTTGTTGCTAAAATCTACATTTTTTTCAAACAAATTTTGGCAATAATCTTAAAAACAAAATATAAAAAATTTGGAAATTGTATGTAACATTGCATGTACAGATGATATTAAAAAAAACATTTTGCAAACCCAATGGAGTTGTGTTTGAAAGCAAAAAAGAAAAAAATAAAAATAAATATTTTGTTTTAAGATTGTTATTTGCTGGTAGTTATAATTTATAAGGGATTTTTTGTTGTTAACAATTTTGAAACAAGACAAGCAACAATGTTTTTATAGTAGAGTTTTTTTTTTAATAAATATAAGATGCTTAACTATTCTAACTACTTATTAATATACATATATAATTCATTATAATTATTAAACTACTTAATTATAAAATGGAATATATATATTTTAAAAAAATATATATTCACATACACCTAAACTATGTAGGAAAAAAGAAGAGTACATACAATCCTCCCTAGCTACAACAATCTTATTTTTCTGTGTGGAAAAACCCTCACCTATAGCTGCTTAAGTAAAAGTTAAAGAATTTGTATGAAAACAAAAAATATATATTAAAAAAAAAACAAAACAACAACACAAAAGTTTATGCACAATTTATTGAAACCATTTAACAAAACAAAGACACCAAATAAAATCAATATTTTTTAAAAATTATACAAAAAGACCTGCAAAGAAAAAGCAAAACAAAAATTATGTTTTTTATTTATCTTTTTTCTCCTGTTATCTGATGAGAAACAAAAAATATTGGATGATTGGTTTCCTTCTATTGGCATATTTAATTTTTAGTTAGATTTCTCACACTCACACACACAACATATATACACCAAGAACAATAGAAACCGTACAATGTGCCTTACATACACAAGAATATACAATGAAATAGAAAACCAGAATATCACAATATCGTTTATCTTTTTGTGTTAGAATATGTTGATTATAGAAATAATGGAACAAGTTTTGTGAAAAACAAAAAATTTATAGTGAAACAATATTATAGAAAATATAGTGCATAGTGGAGCAGGATCTTAATAATAAAGACATCTGAAAAGTGTCATCCGGGGAGTATGGTTTGTAGAATACAAAACAAGTAAAATAGTATCAGTCGGTTTTGCCGACAGATGTATACCCCCAGCCTTGAGTTATGATTATCCAAACTGTTGACCCTTTATGGGGGAGGTTCTGAAACAGTTGACCAATATTTACCAATTCGATATAAATATTACAACATGCCAGATTTGGAATATATCGACTGCGTCCTATACTTTATATAAAATATGTGCAAATTTTTGAAAATGTGCAAATATGCGTGAGGTAACAAATATTCATACCTCATCTAATACAGATAAAAATATTGGTATGAGCTAAATTTGAAGGAAATCCAACTTTTATATCCAATTTTATGCGATATCATAAATTTCGATAAATTACATATTCATAACAGATTTCTGGCTAGGAGACATATTTAGATATAGGAAGTTGTAAAGAATCGCCGAATTGTTTCGCAAGTTATGACAGATAAAAGTATTGAAAATTGTGACTGTGAAGGGTTAGCAGATATATATCATCCTCACAACAGTTTCTGCTATCAAAAATATTTGGATGTGTGAAATTTGATGAGAGTTGGATGCTTTTCTCGCTTTCTTTGAGCGTTTTGTTTTTCAAAATCTTGAACCCTAAGTGGGAGGGGTACCAGAAGAAATGCTCCGATCTCTATAATCTTTATAAGAGATCTTGTGTTGATGGAAATATTGAGATGTACCAAGTCTGAATGAAATTGGATGTTAATTTCTCTTTTATGAGCTTCATGAATATTCAAAATTTTAACCCTTTAGTGGGGGAGGTACCAGAGGGGGTTGACGTATGTATTCCATCTTCATATCAGACCTTGGGCTTACACAAATATTGTGATGTGTGTATGTGGAAGACAATCGGGCACTTACATCACATTTAATAAGAGTTATAATTATTCAAACTTTTGACCTTTTGTGGGAGAGGTACTGGATGGAGTGGACCGATATTGTTCATTTTCGCACCAGTTTCTAAATATATTTCCTTCAACATGTCTTGTGTAAGCAATGTAGAGGCCTATTGAGGTCTTTTGAGGATTTTCAGATTTTTCATGGAAATAAAAATCTATAAATCGTTGTCAATAACGAAAGCAGTTTTTAGGTCACCTATAAACATCTCTTTCTTCTCCCTTTTATGTTTCCTTTAAAGCGAAGGTATTTCTATTCAAAACTGGTTCTTACAGTATATTTAAAATTTGCTCAAATTGTAGTGAATCTGCGCAACAGATTTGCAACGAACTGAATATATTTTCAAAATTTATTGTTTATATCCTCTCTACAAATTTACAGTTGCTGTGGACTATTTTTTTTTCTTAGGCAAAATTATCGGTAGAAATTTCATTGCACAAGAATTATAAAAAAAAAAAATAAAAAACAAAACTTAAATTATAGCAACAATGTATGTAAATTATAACATTAGTAAAAAACAACAATATTTAATATGTAAGTATAAAAAAAATAAATAAATAGGTGTATTGAAATAAAATAAATGCTTGATATTTGTGTTAAGATATTAGATACAATTTGTTTTAATTATAGCAATAGCTCCCATATATCCAATGTTAAAACAATTTGCTATGGGTTGTCCCTCACGGCCGTAAAATAGACTCTCAAACAATGATTTATGGCGCCAGCTATAGTATACAAAACCTCTGCTAAATTTCATAAAGATCGGTTCAGATTTGGATAAGGCTCCCGAGAGCTCAAATGGAATAGATTTTTAAAAAATCGGTTTCGATATAGCTCCGATATATATGTTTCAATCTAAGGGTACTCAAAGTCGAGAGACACAAATACCTCCATCAAATTTAATGCAAATTTATTCAGGGTGGAATTAGTTTCTTTCGATGATCATGATGAGGGATCTACTTTACATAAATGTTCTATATAATCGTTTATTCTACTAATATCTACTAAATATGCATGGTGGTGTGGGATATCATTAAGACGGCACCTTCTAACTTTTGACCTTTCTCTAACAATTTCTCGGTGAGATTTACAGTAGATAAAACGAGGTTCCATTTAGATTACGAGTTGTACAGTGACAGTCTACTTAGCACACAATTTTATCTCTATCTCAAAATTTATAAGTTGCGATTGTATACTGAACTGAATGGCTTCCCACTCACTCGTATTTATACCTCTCATCTGTACATGGAAGTATCGAGAATATCAATCCAGGATATTTTATCATGTTGCAACAAAAGATCAACGTTCGTCAATAAGCATAAACACATTCAAACAAATCAATCTATGTAAACAACAAAGTTATTATAAAAACGAGTGAGTGAGAGAGAACAAATAAAGACGTCAAAATGAGAACTATAAATCTAAGGCTAATACATAAAAGAAGAAACAAAGAAAGAAAATAGAAATAGAAAAAAAGTGAAAAACAGATGAGATGTAATCAGAGAACTATATACAGTAGTTGTTACTGAAACTTATTCAAAACAAGTAAAAAAGCAATAAGAACTTTGAATACCCTCAACTATGCGGAACGAAAATGCTAAAATCATGAAAATACCGAATATTGGGAAGTACCGTTATATCGGGGCTATACGAAGGCGTGGAACTGCATAGACAATTTTTTTGGCATAGGCTGTAGTATCCATTACGAACTTCAAATAATAAATTTGGAACAGTTCCGGTGAATAATGTCGGTCAAATCATAAAAATACCGAATATAGGGAGCTACTGATATATGGGGCCTATACGAAGTTCTGGACCTGTATAGATAATTTTCTGTCACGGCTGTAGTATCAAAATAGGAATGTCGAGAGGTGCTGTTATATGGGGCTATACGAAGACGTGGACCAGCACAGACAATTTTCTGTCATAGGGTGTAGTATCCATTACTTCAAATATTAAATTTGAAACAATTCCGGCGAATAATGTCGCTAAAATCATGAAAATACCGAATATTGGGAGGTACCGTTATATTGAGCCTATATGATAACGTGGACCAGCATAGACAATTTTTTGTCTTAGGCTGTAGTATCCATTACCTTGATGACATTTTGATGATTTTAAGTACAATATTCAAATTGTTTAAAATTTCGCATTTGAAGTTTCTAATAGGCACTACAGCCTGTGACAGACAATTTTCTATGCAGCTACCTCCCTATATTCGGTATTTTAGCTACATTAATCACCGTTTTTTTTGTTGTATTTGGATATTGTAATGGCTTATGACAAACAGTTGTCTATGCAGGTCCACGTCTTTGTATAGACCCCAATATAACAACAATATTCGGTGTTTTTAAGATTTAACAGAATTTTTAACGGATTTTATTTTTTTGGGAATTTCCAAATTCGTTCCATATGGTGGAGGGTGTTCAAAGTTCGGCCCTGCCAAACTTACTGCTTTTTTACTTGTTTTTTTTTATATGTGACTCCAAATGGATACATCTTTGTTCCTCAAAAACAATATAAAAGTAGATATTTACGGTGTCACCCTGTTATTCGTAAATAAGGTATTCCACTGTGAATTGAGAATTAATTCACAATGACGGTTTAGGAATTGGATGTGCAAACAAATATTACCGTATGGATAGAAGTAACAACAAAGATGACTAGATGGCGCTAAAGGACTAAAACGAGAGCGATACTCCTCCACTCAATTCAGCTAGGGTAGACAATGGCTAGGGTAGACAATCGATAAATTACAAACGGAACTCAAAATTATAAAAAAACAGTAAGGAAAAATCAAAAGTCGGGCGGGGCCGACTATATGATACCCTACACCACTATGCATATTTAGTAGAACTCCCGAAACAAAAAAAATTTATTTGAAGTAGATCATACCACCTATCAATATTTGGCTTTAGAGCAGTTACAGTTTGGTTTCAGGGGAAACTAATATGGGACTAATATTGGTCATTTGGTGGACAATTAACCCGAAATAGGTGCATGATATTTATAGAAGCTATATCCAAATCTGAACCGATCTTGATAAAATTTGGCAGAGGTATTTCCGGGCTGTATCTGATATCTGTCACCAAATGCCATACTTGCGAGGTTCATATTACGAATGTGAGGGACTTCAACATCAAATCGGTTGAAACTTATATATTGGAGCTATAGATATATCTGAACCGATTTTCTTCAAATTTGATGTACTTGCTTCTAGACTGAATTCGGTCGGATGTGCCAAAATTCAGGACTTTTTGACAGATTTTGTCCTTGGGCCAAACAAATACTGTTTGGAAATTATCTCCATCAGGTATTGAATGCGACCTGTATTTTCTTCACAAGAATACATGGACGGACAGACGGACTGACATGCATAAATCGACTCAGAGGATGATTCTATGAAGATCCCCAAAAATAAGTATGGGTCTACCTCGCTTCCTTCCCATGTTACAAACAAATGCACAAAGGCACAATACCCTTAGCACTATGTGGTGTAGGGTACAATGAATTTTGTCGCACAATACAATATCACGAGGATTGAAACGTTTTCAATTTGTAGAATGCCATGTGAAAAGCCACCTATCTGTAGAAA